GGGAAATGCAGGTCTAGTACAGCAGCAGAAGCCTTGAAAACTGGAAGTGCAGGATGTGGCACAGAGGAGTACAGGGAGGGAAAGCAAGGGATGGCACACAGGCTTGGCACTGGAGACCCCGTGGCTATAAATAACTCACCAATAATCAGTTAAAGAAATGCAGAGCTAAATCTGACAACCCTGGCTTTTGTTACCTGTCAGGTAACAAAGAGAAGAAAGGAATAGGATGTAATGTATGTAAAAGGCATAGTGTATGGAACATTTGGGGGTTCTATGGAGCTGCAGATCAATGAAGATAGATAGAGCAAAGGTGTAAAAGTGTGTTAACAAGTATAAAAATGACTCCAAGTGGATCCTGAGGTGAAGAAGAAAGCATTGACATGAACATCCTCTTGGCCCTGATGAAGTGACTCGAGATGCTGCCAGCTCACCGTAGCACCCCAGTACCACCAGAATTAAACTCCCAGCCTTGGGATGCAAAAGAGCAATGCAAGCATGAACATGAGGAAAAGGGATAGAAACTCAACATGTGGGTAGCACTTCAAACTATTTTGTCACTATGCTTGAGCCTTTCTCTGTATAGAAATATTCTATTATTTTTTTGGTAACAATTATAGCTGGATTAATAATTAGACTCTTAAGATTTGAATTTTGCTAACAAAAAATAACTTGGCTTTGTACAAGGTGTACTTGCTTTTTGCCTAAAAACAAGATTTGTAGTGTAACAACTGGTGGATAGTGTGGACAGCCCTCCTGTGAACCTTTGCACATTTTGGAGGACAGCCCTCTGTGAGCACCTACAGTGCTGTAAGGTTGGTCCTTCTGGAGCCCCTACAGCAATTTCAGGCTGTCCTTTCATGTTCAGCATATGATAATCAAAAAGATGAGGGAGTAGAGTTAATATGTATTCCTAGTCCTGGCAAGTACCTCACTTAAAGAAAAAAAAAATCAATTTACAGACAACACAGATCTTTTTAAGGATATAAAGTATGTTTCCAGTCTGCCCATGAAAGGAATTTTCAGTGTGACACCCTATTCTAACCTTTTCTTGATCTCAATGTGGTCGTTAACTATATAAATACCTCCCTACCTCAGTTGTAAAATTACTGTGCACTGGTTTGCAAATGTGATATGGCAATGCATGAATAGTATCAACTCAGTATCAAAAGACTCATTTTATAGCATTCCATATGCACTGTACATATTCTTTTTTGTTTGTTTTATTTTCATCCAAGGCAGTAGTAAGCATTTAGTCCACCTGGGAATGTAGGATCCATTATTTCACTGTGAAGACAATTTCATAAAATTAAGCAGGAAATGGTTCCACCATCCAGTCATACTGTTTTTAACATAAAAATGCCTTCCACATAATGTCTGTATATGTGAGACAGCTAAATCTTTTAAGTTTCGTATTCCAAATTCACTATAAACATTTTGGCAGCCATTTCAAAAAATGCTGCACCGCTGGGTTGTTTACAGTAGGCAGAAAAATTGGGTTAAAAAAACACCAGTCAGGAAATTCTTCTGCTAACTCTCCATCTTAAAGCCATACTCTTTTGCCAATGTTACATCTGTGATATGAACCTAAGCTGGTGGCTTAAGGAGAGTGGATGAACAAACATTTGTTTTAACTGTTTTTCTGTAAGATATCAACGTGCATTTGTAAAATTATTTATTTTACAAAATGCACCTGGGTGTCACAATTTACATTCTGTGAGGTCAAGAAGTTAATGATGCAGGCTTCACTGGATATCTTTAATGCATTTCCTTACATTTAAAATAAGTTCCTTTTTTTCTCCCTCACGTCTTAATCCAAACCAAATAGTGATCATGATGAGCTGTGGTGAAAAAGACCTCTTGCATCAGCATTTGGACTTGCTCATTTCCAGCTATATGGAACAATGGTCCTTTTTTTATGCCAGTTATTAGGAATGTGAAGGAGTGCAGCTAAGTCATATCCAAAATAGTTTTAAAAATAAATAAATAAAAACTCTGTCAGAATTCACTTTTTCCTTTTTGGAGTTATATGCTGGAATTATTCCATGTGTAAAGTTGTAGAATATCCCACATGTCTGAATTTAACGACTACAGTTCAACTAAAGGCCTTCTTGAGCAGCTTCTAGAAATATTAAGGGGATCAAGAAGCATATCTTTAAAGTACTTATTAGGATAAGTAAGTCTGTTTACTCTGTTGTGATTTTCCCATTTCTTTAGTCAGGATAAAGATGTAAAATATTGCAGATTTCTGTATCAGATTTTGATGTGAGTGAAATTCAGGAATTCTGAAAATGGACAATGAACTCTAGTTCTACCTTTTAATTCTAACATCTGGATTGTATGAACAATTAAAGTTCCTGTGAATTTTAACCAAAGTGCAATAAGACATTATATGTGGATAGAGTTCTCTGCAGATTTTTTTCTATTTTTGGATAACTGCTTCTCTGGCTTCACCTCATGCCTCAAGTGAAGCAATTCCTGCTTGCTGACAAACTGAAGTTTGGAAATTAAACTTGTAGTATTGAGGCCGTATTTTTAATTTGTTTCTCTTTACATAAGTCAATCTTCTGTTCTATCCTTCATTTGAAGCTGTAGACTTTTATGACTTTATCTCTTAAAGAAGAGTTATGAATTGCAGAATTCACCTGGAGCTTTCTGAGGCGAATGTACTTCCAAATTAGAATCAGTAATTGCTTGTGTTGTTCACTGGCATTTTGATTTCTGGTCTTGGAGAACACTAATCCAGAGTGCTAAATACATTAGCAAAAGCAGTGGAAAATTTTGCACCTTTGTCTCTCTTCTTGATTTCACCTTTCCATATGCTCCACCACTGTCTTTCTTGAGCTTAGCATTGGTACTACTGGAGGTGTAGTATGAAAAAAAGGAAGATTATGTTACACAACTTCCATATTCCCTTTATTATATGGGGAGAAGTTTTGAGGTGTGCTAATAATTATGGCGAGGAATGCAGATATGTAGTCTTAGTGATTTACGGTTTGAATGGCTGCATGGAATCTCTTTACAGTGTATTGCCACTTAAAAATGAATCTATTTTGTCTTCATTTTCTGTTAATCAAATTTAATAATTTGTTCACAAAATTGGGAAATCTAATCCCATGCTTTCAATATGTTTTGACAGCCATGTATATACGAGTTTTCAAAATAGTGAAAGTTCTTTATGTCTCTCTCTGCTACATTTTGGCTTCCAGCTGGATTAAAGTGGATATTCCCATATAAGTGCATACTTGGGAATTAGTTGGCAGTTTTCCTATTTTTACTGTTGTGCAGCCTTTAGACTTTCTCAAATAAAAAGTACCTATTTCAAATTATTTTTGTTTGTTTTCACAGGTGATCAGTCAGCACTTTCAAGGGATACTAGGGAGGGTCAAGCTGAATATTTCAGTTTGAACTTTTTCCCTGAAAAGCATAGGGAAGAATAATTAAAATAGCTTGAGTTAAGGAGTAGCTCTGTTAAGTAGCAGCTTTGCTCAATTAAGATCTATGAAGCAACTGCAAATGATTAAAGTTATGGAAAGGTATCTTATTGTGATGAGAGAAACAAAGATCATATAACTAAACATTACTACATTTCTTTCCATTAAGGCTGGCTTAGGAGTGGGACCCTACTAGTGTACTAGTGACCTGTCAAATGCCATTTCTAATACACAGAGAAATTTAAAGGTGGGAAGCTCCTGGTTGTGGTGATTCTTGCATGGCAGACTTTGGAAGTTTAACTTGAGGAGTATTAACTTTACAGTATTACTGCATTTAGAATAAAATTATTCCAGGGACGGGGCATCTACCATTTCTCTGGGCAACCTCTTCCAGTGTTTCAACACCTCCTCTGTAAAAATTTTCCTCCTTATATCTAGTCTGAATCGACACGCTTTTAGTTTCAAACCATTAATTATGACTTGCCTACATTTACTGGATATATTTCACTCAAGGATCTAGTTTAAGTTTGTCAGTAAAAGCTGATGATTTTGTCAGCTGGATAAAAAAAATTCCACATGGCTTCATCAAGCTTATACCTACTGAAGGAAACCTTTGTGATGATGGTTGGTTTTGATTAGAGTCTGCTTTGCTTTCCAGCCCCTTTTTATTGCTGCTAATCTGATTGTCCTTCAGGAAGTTTCTTAGGAGAAGTCAATACTGACTTTTGCACATATATCAGTAAAAGCTGTAGTTCCTTTGTGTTATTTCTAAATAACAACTTTTAAACTGGTACTATTACCCCACCAGCTTGTGAAAGGCACACACAGAGAGCATTTGCAGTTCACCTTCCTATTGCTCTGCCTACTGTGATACATTTACATAGTAATGTAAATACTGTTGTGAAAGCCACATTGATTACAAGAATTGACCAAGTCTGCCTGTTAATTCACATATAAAAAAAGAATTGAATCTTTAGTTTGGGCTAAAAATTAAAAATACTATGTTGTGCCTCTCCCTCACCACCCACTGTCCCATTTATGTTCAGACAAACTATAAAAATCTAGCTGTGCTGAAATTCATCGCATTTAATTTGTGGACAAGCAAGGTTTTGTAGTAAAATGGCAAGTTGGTGAGCAAGTAAGTTACTAATATTTTGCTAAATGTGATTAGAAAACATAGGGGTGGTCTTCTTTTTGCTTCTTAAATACAGAGCCTTTGAAGAAAGACAGAAACAAGAAGAAGAAAAAGAACAAAGATTTAGAGAGCAAGTTTTGCAGCAGAGGAAAATTAAACTTCAGGAGGCAACTGCTAAGTTCCAGCGTGCTCATCTGCCTTTTCCAAAGCACAAACAAATAGGTCTGTAAATTAAAATTTAGTCATTATTCACAATACAAGTGTTTTTCTATTCACAGAATCACAGAATAGTTAGAATTGGAAGGAACCTCTGGAGATCATCTAGTCCAACCCCTCATATTATTCTACTAATAGAATATAATTGAAGCAAACAGAACAATTAACTTCACTCAAATTAGTTGAATTAATAAAAGCAAAACAACTGATAAGCTCAGATCCGACACATATGGCACAACTGGGTGAAGGGAATTTAAAAAATACACAGGTGGGTATTTTTCTAAAAATTATATTGTGTGCTATTCCATTATATTCCAGTCACAGTAAGTACATCACCTCCTTGGGGTATTGTGGCTTCCTGGGTTTTCCCCACATTTTTGACTGCAGTGTGCTTATTGCTTAGAGTACTGCACTTTCACAGCTGGGTGAGAGGTGTTACAAGGTCACTGACAGTTACTAGGATAGTGTAATGATGCTCTCTTTGAACTCCTGAATGTGGAATATGCAAGAATGTGCATTTTGGTTATAATTAAGTAAAAGAAGTCCTAGTATATATTAATGTTACGTAACTTTAGTCCACTTTCTAAGCTGTTCTCTTGCTGCTGGGAAGTAATGATCAACTCAGTTCCTGCTTTCTTGGAATCAGTGCAGATTGGCAGGAGTTTGTAACAGCATCGGCCAAGTCTGATTTCCAGTCAATTTTCCAGTGTTCAGACTCTTAAGATATGGTCTATTACTTAAGTATTCTTTAACAGATTTACTCTCCCAACAGCTGTTGTGCCAACTGTGAGGTAATGTCTCTGACTTCAAGATCAAATGTCAGATTAAAATAACAAAATAGAACAGTACTGGTTTAGGGCTTCTTCACAGCTCTACCAACAGCTCAAACTGTGTAGCAATAGAATGAATCACAATCTTTTTTCTTGGTTTTCCATCATAACAATTCTGCCTCTGCTACTCTCTATCCTACTTTAGTTACTTGAAAGAAGCAATACCTTGTGCCTTGTCTGGATTCTTTCTTTCTCCACTAACTCGATGATTAAGTTACAATTTGGCCTCTGTCAAATATCTGCAAGTTATAACTTTGGCTTAGTGCATGAGTGGAACAATCATGATGTAAAAACAAAGTTAGGTTTTTTAACCTCCTACTTTTTCAACAGTGCAGTCTAATAACAAATAGTAAAACTGTTGAATAGATGTGCAACTGTAAACACTTAAATAGACTGGGGTTTTGTTTCAGAGGAACTTGAGGTGCTCCAGCATGTCTAATAAGGCTAAACCACTCAGTTTATTGTAACTCTCTGGATTTAGGCTTCCAAACTTCAGAAACTTAACCAAACCATTTATGGTAAAATATTCCAATTTTGAAAATATTTTTTCCATTGTGTTTTTTTTTATCTCTGATCCCTCTAGTTCAGACAAAAGCAGCTTTTCAGTTAGAAGAAGCTCTTGAACGAATTAAAGGATCAGTTTTAACACCAGGACTGTGCTTGCCAAGCATAAACAAAATAAACTTCAGGTAAGCATTCCACTTTACTCTGATAATCAAAGAGGGTAAATTGCCTAGTGTATTCAATAAATTACTCTTTAAGAAATTGTAGGGCATTTCTTTTATGGCAAAGAAAGCATTTCTGTGAACTTTCCAATCAAACATTATGCAACTTCCTTGAGTTGTTTGTGTCCATTTGGTAAGACAGCAAAGGAGATGACACAAACCTTTTTCCTTAAGCAGAATTCTGGGAATAGTCAGGGCTAACCCAGGCTCCAGCCAGTTATAGCCCAACTCAGATTGCCATGGTTATCAAACCATTTACTGTTCTGTGAATTATGAAGTTTTCTGTCTAGATTATTTGTAATTCTCATTTGAATTTTTTCCCCTTTGACATTCAAGGGTACTTTAGTTTATATATTCACTCAATGGTCTTCTTTCCAGCTGTCATTCCTTTACATTTCTCATTCTCTGTATGTATCTTGGCATCCTGATAACAACTTGTCCTTTAATTTCATTTTATATCACATACAACTTGATTTGCATACTTTTCACTCTACCCCGGCACTCTTTCTAAGACACCTTGACTTATCACTTGATGTTTCTTCATGCATAGCTTGGTGCCTATTTGTGGTGATCTTACCCAGCCTTGTTCCAGTTCTATCTGGTTTTTTGTTCTTGAACATATCTTGTTACACAGTCTTTGCTTTCCTAGCTTCTAATTGCACATTTGCCTTGTGATTTGGCTTCATGTGCTCTTTGGATTCTTTGATTGCTGTCAAAGAGCCCCATGGTTCTTGCTAATTGTCATCCTGTAGAAACCCATGGTTTCCCCTCTCTTAATTTACACTCACCCTGGCCACAGTATCCAGTGACACTAGCTGCTCCAAAGGTGGGTTTTTTCAGGTAGCAAATACAAATTCTTTAATGTACCACAACTCTGACGTTACATGTCATCAGTAGATTTGGGCTCTCTAGTTGTTTGCTGTTTGAAGTAAGAGATACCTGACAGCATCAATATAGTTACACTTTAAATAAGCAAACATTATGGAAAAATAAAGCCCATATTGCCTTTTTGAAAGAAAAACCCAAACCAACACTTCTGCTTTCCATTTCTGTAACTTACCAAACTGTTGGCTGACATTTTCCATATTAATTCAGCCTGAGGCAGTCACCCAACAACCCAGTCAGAAAAGTCTGACCATTTATAAATAACAGAAGGTTTAAAATGGAAAGTGTTGGACAGTTTTAGATAGTACTAGCCACACCACCTGTAGTTACATATAGGATGGCAGTCCTTCACTTGCCAGGCATTTATTGATGGTGTATACTTTTGGAAAGGAACACATTTAAGAGCGTAAGTTGATGCATAAAAGCAAGACAAAGTAATAAGTTGTTTGTTTGCATCAAGAACCGCAGATGACACTTCATTCTCATCAGCATCTAGAAATGATTCTTTCCATCAGAAGATTTCAGCAATGGTTGGCTGCGATAAAAAAATACAAGAGAGCAGTAGAACAGACATGGATAGTCACCAACTTCTCTTCCAGAAAAATCTGAAAGAAATGCAACAACTCCTTGAAAAACAGCATCTCAACAGCCTGGAGGTATGATATTTTCATGCGATTCATTACATGATATTTTTTAATTGTGATAGTAAGGGTCTTGAACATGATAAAAATGAAAGGTCTGTTAAGCACTCTTTACTAAGTAGAGATGTGAATTTCAAAAGTCGCTTTAGAAATCATTAAAATCAAGAAGATCTGAGCTGCAAAGTGATTTCTTATTACTGCACTTTTAAGTGTGATTTTAGGTCTGTCATATTTTGGAAATATTGACTTCAATATTACATATTTTTGAAAAAAAGAAGATATACTTTGGGGTTCATTCTTTTATTTCTATAATATCTACTGGTCTCCAGAGTCATGGTGTATGAAATGACCTGGGCTCCATTGAAGCACCATCCCATTGTACTGGTGATGAGTAGGGGCATGGGATCATTGGTAGGCATATGTCAAGGGCTTTTCCTTTTAATACATGTGTATGGATAATTTTAAAAGACTGTATGGAATTCAGATATAGTTTAAGTTCTTTGATATTGATGTTTGCAGACACATTTATCTCTGACTTGGTATCTACTTTGTTCTGATGGGTATTCATGAAAATCTTGACAGCTAATGGCTAACACAAAAAAATCTCACTCAGCTGGAGTGAGATTCAAAAAGGGTGAGAGGATAGAAAGTGTGGTTTGACCTGGCAATGACTAGTGTCCTTTCTTATTTCCAAGCATAAAATAAGGAGGAGCAAATGACAATTTATAGAAAAGAGCTGATAAAACTGAATTCTAGACAACAACTTTAAAACAAAATATAAAAAGGTCTAAGCTTTTTTTTTTAAAATAATATTATCACATTGTGTATTTCATTGGTATATTGTTTGCAAATCCCTCCCTAAATGATGATGATGAATTTGGCAGTTGCCACATTAGGACACCTTAGAATTAGGAAATAAAACATTTTTTCGGGGAAAAATATATAAAAAGATTCTTCTCAGTATATTGTAAGACATCTATATTGTAGTGTATTTTATCAAACACAATTGTCACTTTCTATTCTAGGGAAAAGCTGCCATGAGTCAAGTATTGATTATTTTGCTTATAGTTTTTTCTAAATGTTATCAACTTTGGACATTGCAAATAATATAGGAATTTGTGTTTACAGATTAATGTATTTTTGAAAACACCTTGGTCCTGTAAAAAATTTTGCCTTTTTTTTTTTTCCTCCAGAATGTATTTTTCTGTTACCACTAGGGGTTGCTCAGCTACTTTCCTCTGAAAAATAGTTTCAAAATGTAAATATTTATAATTCAGACGTTTGGACTTTCCTTCTTGAAATTGCATTTGGACTCTGATTAGAAAAAATAGTCAAGAAAGCTATTGTCCTTGTTCTAAGGCTTGAGTTTGGGAAGCTTGATAATTGAATTGTGCCAGTGTGCATGGGTATTGTGACTTCCTGTGTTGGGAAATACTATTGATGATACTCTTACTAACAAAATTTATAGTTTATAATGATTTATAATACTCAGACTGAAATGAATAGACTTCAGTAGTCTTGCTCCTACCTGTTGTCCAAAGTAATTTCAACAGCACTTGCCTTTCTAAAACTAAAGTCAAAGTATTTCACTGTGCACATGCTTTGAGATCTAACCATCCATTGAGATCCTTTGACCTCTCTTTGTTTCTGTTTTTACAGGCCCAGCAGGATTATAAAGATTCCTAAAATTCTTTACTTTCCTACAGGGTGATAAAGTTCTATGTAAACCTTTACCAGCAGATTCAGTGTGTTCCCTGCTTTACCTCCCTAAAAATTTGTATAGATTCATCAGTAACTCAAGATTTTTAGTGACCTTTCTACCCTTTTCCATAATTAGCTTAAAATATTGGCAGTAGCCAATTTTATTTTGTGCAACAGTTGTATCTGAGCCAGTATATGAGAGTATTACTTGTTCTGTGTTCATGAGTGTCGCCGTTCCTACACGAGTATGTTCCATTTTGAAGATTTTAATATTATTAACTTCATTCACAACCAAAGAATTTGTTGCAGAGTCCTTTCCTGGTTTTATTGCCTGCATAAATAACATTTTCAAAGTGGAGCTGGTAGCACGGTCTTTAGCTAAATTTGCATGCAGCTTTTCACCAAAAGACATTAGTCCCAAGTGCTTATCATTTTTCCAAACTGTCAACAGATTATGTTGAAATTTTCCATTTCTAGTACCTGCCTTGAACCAAATAATTTAGAAAATTGTATCTTTTGTCCTTTTCTTTTTGTCACCTCTTTAATTTCTTGGCCATATAACATAGTTTTGCTCAGTACATTTCTAGGCTCTTTCAGAAAAACACATTATGCTTGAATTAAAGTGATTTGCATAATATTTTAACTCTATTGTTTCACTTTTTAAACAAAATATGTGGAGCTAATTCACAGACAAAATAGGTATAGATTACCACCTGGAGATTGTGTTTTCCTCTTCCCTCCTTTATTTGACTATAATTAGGTTATTAAAATGGTATCCATGAAATCCAAATTTAAATCCCTTTCTGACTGATTTGAATCAGAATTTTTACCTTGGCTGCTTTTTTTCCAAGCGTATTTTGCAGCCACTGAAGTACTCATCACCAGTCTTTCTATGGATACCATTACCCTTGGAAGAAAATAATTCAGTATTTATTGAAATAGGGAAACAGGTATCATCTCTCAAAAGCCACAACCCAAACCATCAGCTCAGAGGGCTATTCTTATTTTGTCTCTAATGAAATAAAATTTTGTGTCTTCTTGTACTGTGGGTATTTATATATGTTACATGTGAAATCATATAAGTCTCTGAGAAATAATGAAAAATATTCCTAAGTGATGTTCCACTGAATGGAAGCAGCAGATTGTGCAAACACATAGGTACAGACATCACCTTCCTTGTGTGAGTTGACCTGTATGACTGTTAACTGTTTGACTTACTGTGGTTTTGAGTTTGGACAGTGTCTATGAAATGGAGAAGTTTCAGGTAACTGATGGAAAAACTGTAGTATGATTGGAATGAGTTAAACAAAGGTTCCTTTTGGAAAGGGTGTTGTATCAGTCTGTTTTTTCAGAGGCATAGACGAGAACAGCATGGAAAAAAGGAGTGCCTGTGTACAGTGTCTCCTGAGTATCAGCAACTTCTAGAATGCTCAGGGCCAGTTAGTGGGACAACAGATTCTGAAGGGGAAGGTTAGGATAAAAGGGCATTGAAACAGAAGTCAGTCTTGATTTTGTAGAGACCATTCAACAACTTGAAACAGGTTTCTACAGTCACCTTAAATCTAGAAATGTCTGCTGTTTTTTACTTATAAATGTGAGTGTTAACATATTTTATGTTGATCTCTTAAATTATATGACAAACTTGAGTGATTTCCCTACTCATTTTCCTTTTGGCAAGATCAGAAGTGTTCAGTTTTTGTTGGCTTTCAATCAATATTGTGACACATGACTATCTTCCACATTATTTCACTAATCCAAAATTCACATGTGCTATAAAAGCAATTTGAAATGTATCTCCACACTAAATTATTTTACACAAATGCTTGAACTTGTTTGGGTTGTGTCCTCAAGAGTAGCTTTTGGGTTTGGTTTTGTTGGTCTTTTTTAACATAAAATTGTAGCTTATTCCAAACCTGTGCTGTATAAAATGAGATTGCATCTTCATATCTGACAATCTAGATGTTCAGTCATTTGAAGAGTTGCTTTCCTCAGTTCAAAGCCCTGCTTCAACAGGTGATAAGGCAGGATTGAAGCTGAAACAGCTTTTACAGTACAAAAGAGTTTGTTTTCACAGGTAGATTAATACATGAATAAGATTTTGCTTGTGGATAAATTAGGATTATTATACATACAGCAAAGCTCACAAACCACAGAAACAGGGAAATTGAGAATTGTGCTCTAATATATACTTGCTTCTCCTTTACAAGCATATACTTTTTTCATAACAATTTTCATATATATTAGCATTACTCCAGTTTTGAGTTTACATTCATATACATGTATCCACCTATATATGTATCTATGAGATACTTACATATAGCTACACACTAAAGCATTACCATACTTCATAGCTGATTTTGGGGTAATTTGGTTTACTGCAACAGAGTAAAATGTTCATAAATGTAGCTAAAAGAAAGGAATAGATGAAAAAATAGCAACATCTGATCTTTAGTGTATGCAGTTACAATAATAATATGTTTGCTTGAAGGAAGGGAGTGAAGATAAAAAGTTTTGTGCATATGGGTTAGCCAGGACACTGTATAATGTTAACATGGTATTATCAGAGATAGGATATACTAATGTCTCAAGGGGATGTTGGAAAATCTATTGATTCCTTCTGAAGATGAAAGTATCACTCTCCAAAGTAATTCTACCCCTTTAAAGTTGACAGAACTGTGTTTTAGTTTGGTTTTGTTTGTTTGAAATATAAAGCTTTTGTCAAGTGTAAAGCAAACCAGAATTTAACTACTTTTTTCTTACAGTATTCTGCTTCTATCCTAGTAGCCTCATGGTGGTCTGGGTACACAGAAACATAATCAGTTATTTCAATATTTTAAAAATATTAATTATTCTAAACCTGCAGCAGCACTTCTGTGATGGTCAGTAGCCTGAGCTTTGCTGTGCAGTTTATGCCCAATACTTGCATGACTCTTTAAGGAAGTATGGCTTGAAAAGTGGGAAAGAAATCATCAAGCTAAACACCCAGAATTCAGAGGACAAGAATAAGCAGAGAATAACCAGGACCAAGAAGACCAAAAGGTCTTATGACAAACAAATAATTACACTATTTCAAACACTGGCAAGAAAAAAAAAGTCAGCCTTTGATTTCAGTAAGCTGTTTAGGGGAAGGTAGATGCTGAAAACTTGTACAAATTCAAATCTGTAAAGTTCTTAAGAAGAATGTGTAACTTCAAAAATATCTGGTTAAAAAAATGAAATTTGTAAAACAGGTAACATGTAAATCACTAAATATTTTTTCAAGAAAAGTGATTATATTAATGAAGCATGCCATGAATGTTGGCAATTATGTGAAACTGTCTTATTAGATAAACTTGTTTGTAGAGAGGCATAAATATTAGAAAATACTCTTAGATATATGGTTTAACTTTTAGGTTGTTCTGTGCAGAGTCAGGTTTTGGACTCAATGATCCATGTGGGTCCCTTTCAACTCAGGATATTCTATGATTATAAAAGAATTTCAGTGTCTGATCTTCAGGATTTCCTCATATACATCCACCTTCTGCCTTGGTTGCTGCTGTGCAGTGCATAAAATAGAGTGGGAACATGTTCCAAACTATTCCATCTTTACAATGTACTTACATTGCTAAAGGAAAAAAATAATGCTTTTCATATACACACAATAGAATGGATCTCTTGTGTAATGTAAGCACCAAAATCTTTTCTCAGTGTAATTTGCTCTCTTGAGTCTTCCCAAATCTTCCGTCAAATCAGTATTGTATATGCACATATTTTTCAAACTCACATAGAAACGAGATTATTAATTTTCTAATGGGCTTTCACATTCCATAGCTGATGAACTCAAAATTAGTGAAGGTGTTTAGGTACCTTACTGGCTTTGAGAGGTGGTTTTGTATCTATGTGTCCCTTGGTGTCTTTTACTTCACAATCAGTGTGAAGTGTAACATTAGATATGTACACATATAACAAGCAAAGAATTTCTGTAAATAAAGCAGTTGAAATCATCAAAAATAGCAAGTAGTGTGAGAGGTGAGGGACCTGGGTTTTCAGA